AAAATAACATAATAGGGAAATAATACAATAGGAAAATAACATATTAGTTAACAAATTGGAAAAAGTGGGAAATTAATTGTCTATTATTAGATGTTAGAAAAAACTTAACTGATTTCTTAAAATGGTTTAAAAATTATAAAAACGGGGTGCTAAAAACTTAAAGTTTCTTTGGCCAATTGTTTTTTGTGTAGTTGGAACTTGAAGATAATTATTTTTCTTAGCTCTGGTAGTATAGAGATGAGATATTTCATTAAAATTTTGTTTGTGTTTAAATAAAAAAATTAGAGTTTTAAGAAAAAATGTCTGACGAATATCCAACACTAATGCGTCTCGAAAAAGCTGGTCAGAAGGGTAAGTTTTTTCTTTTCCTAATATTATTTTTAAAAAATATTTCTGAAGCGTTTGTAATTTTTCTAGGTATACATCTACAGTTCCGCCCCAAGCCAAAATTCCATATGATAATCTAGATGCTACAAGTGAATAGTATAACATTTTTACTTTCCTATCTGTATACAGATATAAGGAAAGTATAGGAATCATGATTTTTTTCGACCTCGAGTTTTCGACGGATTTTTACGTTTTGAGGTCCCCTGAATCCGTTTTGACTATTTTCGCGATGATGTCTGTGTATGTGTGTGCGTGCGTGCGCGTGTGTGCGTGTGTGTGTGTGTGTGTGTGTGTGTGTGTGTGTGTGTGTGTGTGTGTGTGTGTGTGTGTGTGTGTGTGTGTGTGTGTGTGTGTGTGTGTGTGTGTGTGTGTGTGTGTGTGTGTGTGTGTGTGTGTGTGTGTGTGTGTGTGTGTGTGTGTGTGTGTGTGTGTGTGTGTGTGTGTGTGTGTGTGTGTGTGTGTGTGTGTGTGTGTGTGTGTGTGTGTGTGTGTGTGTGTGTGTGTGTGTGTGTGTGTGTGTGTGTGTGTGTGTGTGTGTGTGTGTGTGTGTGTGTGTGTGTGTGTGTGTGTGTGTGTGTGTGTGTGTGTGTGTGTGTGTGTGTGTGTGTGTGTGTGTGTGTGTGTGTGTGTGTGTGTGTGTGTGTGTGTGTGTGTGTGTGTGTGTGTGTGTGTGTGTGTGTGTGTGTGTGTGTGTGTGTGTGTGTGTGTGTGTGTGTGTGTGTGTGTGTGTGTGTGTGTGTGTGTGTGTGTGTGTGTGTGTGTGTGTGTGTGTGTGTGTGTGTGTGTGTGTGTGTGTGTGTGTGTGTGTGTGTGTGTGTGTGTGTGTGTGTGTGTGTGTGTGTGTGTGTGTGTGTGTGTGTGTGTGTGTGTGTGTGTGTGTGTGTGTGTGTGTCTGTATAACGCATAACTAATGAACTGATACACAGAAAAACACCAAATTTTAAACTTAAGCTTTGTTTCAGCGTCCAATGAGCTGATTAGATTTTGGGCAGAGTCGGAACATCTGGGGGGTACTTTATAGGTGGTCATTTTTATATTTTATGGAATATATCTGTTATTTACGTTTAGAGAAGAAAATTCTTCAAATAAAAGTTACTTCTAATATAATTATCTATAATTTTGTATGCAAAATTTTTCTAAAATGGTCCGTATTTGAGAAATTTGACAAAATGTAAAAAAAATATTTTTTTATAAAAATTGTTCAAATAAAAGCTGTTTGTAATATAATTCTCTATAATTTTTATTCTATACATAATTTCTCTAAAATGGACCGTATTCGAGATATTTGAGAAAATGTGTAAATTTCGAATTTTGAAGAAAACTCAAAAACGGATAAAGAAAAAAACATTAAATTTTAAACTTAAGGTTTATTTCGGCCTGACGTGAAATGATTAGATTTTGGACATAGTCGGAACATCTGGGGGGATACTTTATGGGAGGCCACTTTTATATTTTATGGAATATATCTGTTATTAATGTTTGGAGAAAAAAATTGTTTAAATAAAAGTTACTTCTAATATTATTATCTATAATTTTTGTTTTATGTAAAAATTTCCTGAAATGGTGCGTATTCGAGAAATTTGACAAAATGTGCAAAATTCTGATTTTTATGAAAGTTTTTAAAATAAAAGTTGTTTGCGATATCGATCTCTATAATTTTTGTTTATACATGATTTTTCTAAAATGGACCGTAATGAAAAAATTGTAGGAAATTTAAAATTTTCAGTATTTTCGTTTTCCATGAATATCTATAGAAAAAAGTTTCGAGGTAGATGTATGTGGACAATGTATATATTTAGTTTATCCTCTAAACATTTATAGAGATGCTGCAATAGGTTGTACAAAATAACCGGAAAAAGCCTATAATAACTAGATAGGAAAGTCATGTGTTGGACACATCAGATTTTTAAATATGGTAAATCTAGAACATTCGACAAATATTTAAATCGTCCCAGAAAGGATCTTAATGTTTTAGTAACGTTATTTATATGGTAATCCCATCGTAAGTGACAATCTATCGTTATACCAAGGTATTTTATATCTTTAGTAAGTTTAATTTTTATGGTTTTTTTGGTATGTTCATTATATATTTTTAATTCATTGTAGGTAGGCATTCCATTTTTGTAACTGCAAACAGGTAGAAACATCGTTTTCTCATAATTAATTGTTAAAAGATGAAAATTAAACCAATCAGTAATAGTTTTCATATCGTCTTCTATTTTCTGTTTCAGATCAGACCAAGTCTCAGCAGTGTAAAATAGTACCGTATCATCGGCAAAACTGTATATGGTTCCAGTAACGCTTAAGGTAAGTAAGTTATTCAAATATAGGATAAAAAGAATTGGCCCTAGCACTGTCCCTTGCGGAACTCCACATTTCACAACTTGCGCTGAGCTTATGCAATCATCTATTTTTACATGTTGTGTACGATTTTGAAGATAAGATTTAAACATTTTTAGAGCTGTTCCACGTATTCCTGAATCCTCCAATGCATCCAATAACTGACTGTGATCTACAGTATCGAACGCCTTTGCAAGATCCAAGAATACTCCAATTGCCGGTTTCGTATGTTCAACAGCATCATACATTTTTGATATTAATGCAGATATAGCATCTTCTGTTGATTTTCCCGTCTGAAAACCAAACTGGTTGGGTGACAAAATTTTTTCGCTAATTAAAAATGATTCAAGCCTAACTTTTATAATTTTTTCAAATAGTTTTGCAAAGCTACTTAGTAGTGAAATTGGTCTATAGTTTGAAGGCAGACTTTTATCACCTTTTTTGTGAAGAGGCTTTATGATGGCGACCTTGAATTCAGTTAGGCAAATTCCATCTGAAATTAACTTGTTAATTAGAAAACATAATGGTTTAGCTAATTCAGTGCTAGTTTCTTTAAGTAATTCTGATTTTATTTCGTCAATACCGGGAGCCTTATTATTTTTTAATGCATTTATTAATTTAATTATTTCTGTTTCAGTGGCTGGTTTCATAAAAATTGAATTTTTATTAATACGTCTCTTTGAATGAAAAAGTGGAGGTTTTTGAATATTTTTAGCAAGATCGGGTCCAATGTTTGTAAAAAATGTGTTTAATGTATCGGCAATTTCTAATTTGTTAGTAGATTTAGTATTATTTAATAACGTTATTTCTTTGATATTAGAATGTTTAGGATTTGAATTTGTCATATTATTTATAGTTTTCCACAGATTTTTTGAGTTATATTTATTTTTTTCAATTTGTCGTTTATATATTCTAATTTTGTTAAACTAATCAGATTATGTAATTTATTTCGATATATAATAAACTCTTGTTTTAAATTTAGATCTAATGAATTTGTTTGATAATTTTTATATAATCTGTCCCTTTCGCTTATGGATTTCATTATGCCATTAGTTATCCACTCCTTTCTTTTAATCGTTTTTTTAGTTTGTTTAACTTTAACAGTATGTTTACATATTAAATCATTTACGGTGTTTAAAAAATATGATGCAGTTTCTTGTGCATCCTGAATATTATACAAAATAGTCCAGTCAAACGATTTAAGATCAGTTTTAAGTTTTTTTTGGTTGATTGTTTTTATATAATTAAATGTTAATGTTTTTTCATTTTCCTCAAAGACATTCCAATTAAAAATAGTTGCCCTGTGATCAGTTAGTAACGTATCTAGGACATAACTAAAACAATTATTCAAGATATTACCTGTTTTTAGTTTATTAAATATGTGATCCAAACAAGATTTTGAATTGTCTTGAATACGAGTGTACGCATTTATTACAGAAGTAAAATTGAATTCATTCATAACATTAAGGTAGTCACTAACTAATTTTACTTTTGAGAGGAGATTTATGTTTATGTCCCCAACTATAAGGGTGTAGGTCACTGCTACTTTGTCTTAAAAGAAAATCATATAATTCGTCTACATAATCATATTCGTTAATAGACGGAGGTCTATATAATGCTGTTATTGCTATATCTTTATTTTCTTTAGCAGTACGAATATTAATTGCCTTACAACCATTAATTTCAGTAATTTCTGAACTATAATTTAGGTGATCCCTTATATAAATAACTGTCCCATCGCATTTATTTATATTACCGAAATTAAAAATAATTTCGTATCCATCTAAATGACACAGGTTGATATCGAAATCATTTCTTGTCTCAGTAAGAACAATGCAATCAAAACAGCTAGTGAAAGTATTAAGGGTAGTCTGTAGATTATCTAAATTTTTTGATATGCTTCTGATGTTTTGATGAAAAAGTGTAAATGCGTTTTGTGTTTTATTATCGTAATTGTACTGGGCAGCATTATTTAATATAACAGTATGAAAGTCGTTATAGCTATAATCTTTTATGAATGGATCCATTTTTATTCATAAAAATATTTAATCTAAATTAAAATATATTTACCCTAACCAATGACTAGCAACTAATATTTATATTTAAAATGCATATATTAGTTAAAAATACAGAAAATTATCATAACAATTCGTTACTTTTTATGAATTGTATATATATATATTAAAAAAAAAGGAATAAAAAATAAATGGAACTACTCAGAAACAAAAAGAAAATACATAAAAGTCTTAAAACAGAACAAAGATGTTATTACCTCATCGATTTTTACACTTATTTTTTTTTTTCACTTTATTATTTGGTTTGGACTTTGTTTCTCGTATTGTAGTTTGATGCTGATGGCGAGGAATGTTTCCTATTCTTTTGTTCTTTCTTATCTTCCAACTTTTTTTTACTAGTTTCTTTTCTTCATATTCTTTTTCTTTTGTAATTTCTTCAATATTTTTAAATTGATCATTATCACCCTTATTTTTGGTTAATCCGATGCATTCTATTACAGTTTTCTCTTCTTCTATGCTTACTTTATTTATAATTTCATGTCGTGTCGACGAGGGTGTAGTTAGGGCAAATTGACGTATACTATCTTCAAAATAGCCAATCTTGAGATGGTGTTTGGGGAGCGCTTAATGATTTTTCTTCCGTAAATTTGCAATTTACTTTTTCTTGTTCTTGTTCTTCTTCTTTGTCTCTTAATTGCTCTGCAGTAAACTTCTCGTCATTTACAACTAGGTAATGACCTTGTATTTTTGCATTATATTTTTTTGTTCTGGCTATATTAAGGTGCTTCTTTAAAATCTTTTGATTTTGTCTATCCTCGTAACAGAGATCTTGAACAATATATATATTCTTACCCTTTAATTTGTTGCAATTTCGAAGTATCAGTTGTTTTCTTAAATAAGAGACGAACTCGACTTTTATTGCGCCATTTCTTCCGGCGTTGATTTTGTAAATGTTGTTTATTTCTAGAACTGAGACTTAAACTTCAAGTATTCTATGGAAAAAATGTAGGACAACGTCTATTAAATTTCCGTTATTTGGGACATCTAAATCAAAAATTAATACATTGTTCTTCCTATTTAGTCTGTCTAACTGTAAGCACTTGTTTTTAATTTTTAAGCAATTTTTTTCTAATACATTTATTCTCCCTAATGTGTTATCTAGTTTTGTTATAACTCTTTCATTTTCAGTTTTAATTTCAAGTTTTATACTTTCCTTTATTTTATCTCCTTGTTCCTTTATTTCCTTCAAAAGTTTTTCAAATAATTGAGAGTTTGTCAATTCACCCATTCCACAAAATGTTTTTTAACTAAATTGTACCGCTACTGATTATTTTAATGGCTAGTATCAATTGACGATTTCTTTAAACTTGTTATCAGATAGTCATTAGTGTTTTTTCTGAATTTTTGTGCATTAATATTTGTGAAACTTTATGAATTAAATGCGGTTTTTGATAAAAATTTGTTAACACTTACTATGTATTGTATTTTTATTATTGCAGTTCGATACAAAATTTTTTTATACACACTTTGATATTAATTTTGTACTTAAAATTTAGGTTTTATCACTTGAAATTTAATTTACAATCGGACAAAAGCAGACACGTCTATTCTCTTCGCGAGCACACAAATGTATGAATATAGACATAGACATACAGACACAGTCACAGACAATCTTTCTAATCATCCAACTACAAATAAACTAGCTGCTTTTAACTGTTATTTAGAGCAATTACTTAATACACCTTTGACAAAAGAGTCCTTTGGAAATAAGGAATAAGCATAAAATTGACGTCTTAGACTTATCTGGTTTACAAATTAAATTGTAACACTTGCAATTCTTACTACATAGGTAGAATTAGTAATTTCAAACCACGACTGAAAGAACACACTAGATGTCTGAACCAAAACCATATTGGTTTTTCTCATTTTGCCAACTATCTTATAGACACATGACATGACTTTGATTCTTCAACAAATTTCAAAATCTTACACTACACCTTTAATAGATCTACTCTTAATAGCTTTGAGAACCTAGAAATAATGAGAAATCCTAAAGCGTCACCAGGAGGTTGCTTGAATGCACGGATCCTTGTATCTTCTCCTATTTTCTCCACTTTGCTTTAAATAGAAAACAACAATTATATCTCTTTTTTATTTTTCATTTCTTATTTCTGATTACACAGGCCCGCGAAAATTTTGTGATCTAGCCATTTTATTTTTTTTTTCGCCTATTTACAACTTCTATATACACTCACCGGCACGAAAAACGGTGCAGTTGAATTTTTTTAAACAAAATTAACATTTTAATGCTTTGTGATGTTTCATTATTATAATATCTTAAACATAAACAAAACATGTTTTAAGTATTTTATAACAACAATTGAACCTTTATTTGAAGAAAAAAAGGGTTTTGTAACAATTTAAAAAACGAAGACGAAAAAGCACAAATTGGTGTTGTTGCTAAATGACCTTAAATTAATCAAAACTGAAACGACTTGCTAAAAAAAACTGGGGAGCCGCATTTTTAATAACGTGTGTTGCCCCCACGTGCTCGAATAATAGCCTGCATCCTCCTTGGCATGCCTAAAATTAAGTAGCGAATGTCCTATTGAGGAATATGTTCCCATTCCTCTAAAAGAGCTTGTTGCAACAGATTTAAAGTTAAAGGAGCAGGAACACGACTTCGCATCCTTCGCCCAACCATGTCCCAAACATGTTCAATTGGGTTCGCATCCGGGCTTAACGCTGGCCACTCCATAACAGGAATGTTTACATCGTTTAAGTACTGTTGAGTGATTCTCACGATGTGAGGTCTGGCATTATCATGCATTAGAAGAAAGTCATTTCCAATAAAGTCAACATAAGGGACAACAAAATCTTGGAGAATTTCATCAATGTAACTGGCAGCAGTTAAGGAGCCTCTCGGAAGGATGTACAACTATGTGTGTGCCTCCATAGAAATTCCGGCCCACACCATAACTGAGCCTCCTTGGTAGCCTACCCTAGGACTGAAGGTACATTCTGCGAAACACTCTTGTGGTCTTCGCCATACTCTCTCACGACCATCTGGAGACCGCAGGCTAAATCTGGACTCATCCGTAAACAAAACGCGCCCCCATTCATTTTCACCCCAGTGCTCATGATTTCTGGCAAACTGAAATCGCGTAATACGATGACGTCTAAGAAGCTCTGGGCCTGTTGCAGGTCTACGACTGGTAAGATTGGCTTCTCCGAGTCTTCGTCTAACTGTCCGTTCGCTTATGTTGGTTGCCGGACGTGATGAAGTCGATTTCTGATTTCAACAGCCGTAGCATGACGATTTGGCAGACTTTGTAAGATGATAAAGCGATCATCATGAGCGCTAGTTCTTCGTTGGAGACCAGTTCCAAGTCGTCTGGTGTAAGCTCCAGTTTCCAAAAAACGTGTAAAAATACGGTGCACAGTGCTATTGGATATGTGATACTGTTGGGCAACATATCGCTCACTTCTTCTGTCTTGAAGCAACGCAACAATAGCAGCCGCTATTTCGGGATTAACAGCCATAATTTTGTAGGTGAAATAAACGCAGCACAACTTTAAAACGTGTTTCGATCTGTCAAATTTCTCAAAACAATGAAAACAACAGCATTGTTGGTCATGGTTTCATAGCCAACTATGCACTTTGAAGTGATAAGTCTGTTCAATTTTTGATTTTTATTCAAAAACGCTTTTTTTCTTCAAATAAAGGTTCAATTGTTGTTAGAAAATGCTTAAAACACGTTGTTTTGTTTATGTTTAAGTTATTATAATAATAAAACATCACAAAGCATTAAAATTTTAAGTTTGTTTAAAAAAATTCAACTGCTCCGTTTTTCGTGCCGGTGAGTGTAGTTAAAATAACCCCCTTTTTATTCTATCACGTAAATGTTTTTTGTAAACTAGTATCAAGGGTATTATCCCTGCTGATAATAAAATAAAACAGTTAAATGAGCTCAGTTGGTTTTAATCTAGGTTCTTTTGATTGTCGGAACTATGAAGGTACATAACACGGGGCTAAATATATTGTAATTTACAAAAATTAATGAAAAGGGGACCAAGAGTATACTTTTGGTTTATATATAAGAAAAAAAGCATGGTAATTAATGGTACATGTACTTTTTCTGTGACACAAGTTAAATTAATTTAATCGTGTTACCCCGATTACACTACGGAACACTCTTAGTCGAACGCTCCCTGTAATCGGCAAGTAAAGTGCCAATCACTGCCCCAGTATAATTAATAATACAGTAGCAGGGGGGGATATCGCGCATAGTGTCATGGCGGCGCTGACATCATGCGTAGAGTTAGTAGAGTTGGCGCTAGGTAAATATCATATGACAGACGCACGTTGCAGTGATTTTTAAGTCGTTTATAGTGATTTATAACATTTTAAGCGAGTATTTGTATTATATTGTAAACAGTGTTCTTAGTGAGCGGTATTAGTTATAAACATTAAAAAATGAGGTACGCAATTTACGGATGTAACAGTAACAATCAAAGCAAAGGATTTGAAAAAGATGTTGTTTTTCACATTCTTCGACAGTAAGAGGTTAGTCAGAAGTGGCCCAAGGGCGGCTCTAGTTGTGTGTCCCAGGGGGCCTTGCCTCTTCCTTGATTAACAATTTAACATTCCATGAGCCTTTTATTAAAAAAATATACTAAAAGTTAAATTGTTATAGGCAATGCTACCCATTCCTTCTCGAAAATTTGACGAAGACGTCCTTGCAGTGGCCTTTGGACGTGCAGATAAATTTAAAACAGAATATTATTGTGTGCTCCAAACACTTCTAATCTTTCAGTTATACGAGGGACCTTAAAGCAAACCGTCACGTTAGTTCATTCAAAACTCAGGACCTCTTAACTGGGGACTCTACCCTTTTGAAAGCTAAAAATTTCGCAATATATAGCAAAGGTGAAATTATTTGTCGCAAAAAAATTAAATTTCGACATGATGAAAGAATTAAAAAACTGTCGGTGACTATGTCCATGAAAAATGCACTGACAGTTTATTTTAATTTTGTATATACACCCACCATGTATTAGTTATTAATATTTGGTACATTTATTTTTATGCTTTGCATTATATTATATGTATGAAACATATTTTTTAAAAACCTATTTTCGGTATCTTACTTACACATAAATCCGATCTCTTTTATAAAATAAGTTGTTAAGTATATTCAATTGGGTAATATATTGCAGAAAAATGAGTCACCAGTTGCGAATCCTAATCCGGTAAATATTTCTTGTGTCCCCAGATGCTAAATTTTTAGCCAGGGTCCCCAGTTGAGACGTTACGAGTTGCTCCTTATCATTATCCAGATTATAGAAACTATTCTTTAGAAGTCAATTGTTCTTCAAAATTAAAAACCTGCATTCAAATTTGTAAAGCAAAAACAAATCATTAAAAGGAAAAAATGATGCTAAAATACATATTTCTTTTATGTATGGATTTGCGTTTATTTTCCTACATATCTCTTTTCTTAACTATCTCACAATATATATCCATAATATTATCGTTTAATAATAACAAAATTTCTGTAAATAGCATTTAGTTTCCTCCTTA